TATTACTTCCCTTAATTCTCACAGCAACTCTAAGGGTTAAGAAACTTGTCCCATTTTACAGATGAGGAAAGGAGGCTGTACCACTCAGGGTTCCTTCCACCAGAGGAACAGACTGGTAGTATGTGTATATATGTGTATGTGTATTTATTAATGTTTATTACAAGGAATTGTGGGGCCTGGCTAGGCAAGTCTGAAATCCATAGGGCAGACCAAGTCAGGAAGGGCAGGTTAGGAACTCTTGGGCAGGGGCTGATGTTGCAGTCTTGTGGCAGAATTTCTTCCAAGAAACAGAAGTTTTGTTCTTAAGGTCCTTCTATTGATTGGATCAGGCCCACCCAGATTTTTCAGGGTGATCTCCTTTGCCTAAAGTCAGCTGCTTGTATGTGTTAATCACATCTACAAAGTACCAGTCATGATGAGTGTTGGATTGAGTAACTATCACCTAGCCAAGTGGACACATAAAACTGACCATCATGGTGAGTTCAGGTGTAGTAACTTCCCCAAGGCTCTGGGGCAGAAAGTAGCAGAGATGAGCCTGCTGAACCTTTGCAGTTTTTCAGAATTTCTAGGAGATGCTGGGACTGGACAGAACAACAGGGTTGAAAAAGCATCTGCTGTGGACCCATGTGGCACTGAGTTCAGGTCTCAGCCCTGCCACTTAGTCCGTCAGTGACTGTGACAGGCCACCTCACCTGCAGGAGCCTGACCCCTCTCCTCTGTAGAGTAGGCAGAACTGTGGTGAAGGTCAGAGAGAGTTATCATGGACCCTGGGGCAGACCTGCCCATCTGAGGGTTGATTAATCTTAGCTTCATCATTATTCACATGCTGAATAGCCCTGCCACTAGCCCTGCCACTAACAGTTCTTTCTCACCTCTGCCACCAGCAACATGAAGCTGCAATACAAGGGGGAGAAGCCATTCCAGCCAGTGGCACAGTAAGGAGACTGTCATTTCTCCCATTGGTGGCCCCTGAGGTAGGGGCCACCTCCCTCACCACTGGCCCTTCTTGGTTGCAGGTTACACTACCCTCAGCCCAAGCTGCTGGAGCAGAGGTAAGTGTTGTTTAGGACCTGAGTACAAGATGGAGAGTCCCAGGGGAGAAGGCAGGTGGAGGAGTCAACAGAGGCCCTGATTTATAAGTTGGGATGGTGGAGGTAGAGTTTCAGGGTGGCTTGGGGCCCAGGTAGTCGGGGACTGTGGAAGGACACCAGCTGGGAGTTAGACCTGGGTGGATTTCAATCCTAGCTATGTCACTAGCTGTGTGACCTTGGCAGGTAACTGAACTGCTCTGAGCTGTTTCTGTATAAGGTGGATCATGATAGTACCTACCTCATAGGAGAAGGAGCCCTGATGGTGTAATGGTTAAGCGGTTAGCTGCTGACCAAAAGGTCAGCAGGTAGTTCAAACCCACCCACAGTTCTTCAGGAGAAAACACCTGGCACTCTGCTACCATAAAGATTTCCAAAACCCTACTGCCAGCCAGTCAATTCCAACTCATAGCAACCTTTTAAGACAAAGTAGAACTGCCCAATAGGGTTTCTAAGACTTTAAATCCTTATCGAAGCAGACTGCCTCATCTTTTTCCTGCAGAGTGGCTGGTGGGTTCAAACTACCAACCTTTTGGTTAGTGGCTAAATTCTTTAAACACTATACCACCAGAGCTCCTTGCATAGAGATTATAGCCTAGGAAACCCTATGGGGCACTTCGACTCTATCCTGAAGGGGCACAGTGAGTTGGAATCATCTTGACAGCCAACAACAACAACCATCTCATGGGTTGGGAGGACAGATGAGATGATTTCTATAAAATTTGCAGCATCATACTTGCCCCATAGTCGGGGCTCAGTAGGCTATTGTGAAAGTATTAGCATTGTTAGTGTCCTTTCTGGTAACTCCTGTTTATTAATTGTTCAGAAGGCATATGAAATGCCTTCCAGGCTCCTCCGGACACTTACATGCACTACATCCTGGGCCTTCCAACCATGTTACTAACCAAAGACTTAACCTATTGAGTTAAAAAGTTAACCTTTTGGTTAAAAACCAAAAATCTATCACTATTGAGTCATTCCAACTCATAGCGACCCTATAGGATGAAATGGAACTGCCTCATAGGGTTCCCAAAGGAGCTCTGGTAGCACAGTGCCTAAAGGTGTCTGACTGCTAACCAGAAGTTTGGTGGTTCAAACCCACCAGCCACTCTGCAGAAACAAGACTGGGCAATCTCCTTCCATAAAGATTTACCACCTCGGAAACCCAACGGGGTTCACTATGAGTCAGAATCGATTCGACAGCAGTGGGTTGGGTTTGGTTGTTTTTCAATAGGGTTCCAAGGCTGTAAATCTTTACAGGAGCAAAGTGCCACATCTTTCTCCCATGGAGCAGCTAATGGGTTCAAACCATTGACCTTTCAGTTAGCAGCCAAACACTTAACTACTGCACCACCAGGCTCCTTATCCTCACTTTCCATATGAAGATAGTGGGGCTCAAAAATGGATAAAGTTGCCCTGCATGGAAGGGAGAGCCCAGCTGAGGCTCAGGCTTTCGCAGAGAGAAGATCTCAGTGCCCTTGTGGCCTCCCCTGCTGCCAGGCCCACAGAGCTGCTGACACTCACACCCTGGTTGGCACCAATCATCTCTGAGGGAACCTTTGACCCACTGCTTCTGCAGAACATCTACCAGCCGCTGAACCTGACCATTGGGCTCACAGTGTTTGCTGTGGGAAGGTGAGTCCTGGGCTGGCGTGGAAGTTTCTCCCTGAGCCACAGAAACATACAATCTAGGGAGACCTGAGATCTGAACCCAGGACTTGGCCTGGTACCATGGAAGGCCCCGAGCCAGGTGCTGAGCCGAATGGGAAGGTAGGTCATAGAGTGTGATGGTATGGAGTGAGGGACTGCCTGGAAGAGGGGGCCTGGCCCTGGCCTGGAGAAAGCAAGGAGGCCGCCTAGGGGCGGGAACAGCAGGAACTGCTTCCCCTCAACAGTTCAGGTAAGTTTCAAGGAGCAGAAACCCCCAGACCACTTCACGTAAACCAGATCCATAGATGATAGGTAGGCAAGGTGCCCAGGAAGAGACTGGCCTCAAGACCCTCTTCCCAACCCCTTGAATGTTCCTGCCTCACTCTGGATCTCTCCTCTGCTCTCTTCTCTCCTTTCTGGTCCCACATGGCCTTCCCTGTAGGAGTTACCACCTGGCAATGTCCTTCGGGACTCCTAAGGCAGGGAGTGTGATGAGGCCACAAGGCCTAAGGCACTGGGCAGATGGATGGCCCATCTGGGATTAGGTGGCCCCTTAGCCAACCACTTGTAGCCTGGGGTGGGGCCATGGAGTCCACTGCCCACTCTTCACCCTCCCTTGATACCTCCACTGACTTATTTCTTGGTGACTTTCATCTCTGAACCTCACTGCTCTTTCTATATTAAAAAAAGGGATTATAACACCTATCTTGTTGTTATGTGCTGTCGAGTCGGACTTGACTCATAGCAACCCCTCCTTGGGTTTCCAAGGCAGTATCGCTACGGAAGTGGTTGCCCAACCTTCCTTCCGAGGAGTGACTGGTGGGTGTGAACCGCCAGCCTCCTGGTTAGCAGTCAAGTGCCTTAGGCACTATCCTACCAGAGCTCCCTAACACCTATCTTAGAAGGCCTGAAAGAGGTAAGAATCCCATAGAGCACTGCGTGACATTTAGAAAATGCTTAATAAAACTTAGCTTGTTTTATGAATATAAGAATCATTTTTGTTAAATATCATCCTTATGACAGTCTTAAGAGGTTGATGCTATTATTTGAATTTGACAGAGTAGGACTTTTGACAGACTCAGACCTTAGTAACTTGAGGTGAGGCGTTAGGAGGTAGACCCTACCCTGGCTGGCTGTAGCACCCATGCTCCATGTGGTGCCAGCACACAGTGAGTATCCAGTTGGGTCCTGCCATGGTGGTAGTGGATGTGGACTGGGGTCTTACCACCAGGTACACCCATTTCGTCCAGCACTTCCTGGAGTCGGCTGAGGCGTTCTTCATGCGAGGTTACCGTGTGTACTACTACATCTTCACCAACGACCTGCAGGCCATGCCCCATGTCCCACTGGGCCCTGGCCGGCTCCTCAGCGTCATCCCCATCCAGGGTTACTCCCACTGGGAGGAGATCTCCATGCGCCGGATGGAGACCATCAGCCAGCACATTGCCAAGAGGGCACACCGTGAGGTGGACTACATCTTCTGCCTTGATGTGGACATGGTGTTCCGGAATCCATGGGGCCCTGAGACCTTGGGGGACCTGGTAGCTGCCATTCACCCAGGCTACTTTGCTGTATCCCGCCAACACTTTCCCTATGAACGCAGGCGTGTTTCCACTGCCTTTGTGGAGGACAATGAGGGGGACTTTTATTATGGTGGGGCAGTTTTTGGGGGCCGAGTAGCCAGAGTGTATGAGTTCACCAGGGGCTGCCACATGGCCATCCTAGCAGACAAAGCCAATGGTATCATGGCAGCCTGGCAGGAGGAGAGCCACCTGAATCGCCGCTTTATCTCTCACAAGCCCTCCAAGGTGCTGTCCCCTGAGTACCTCTGGGATGACAGGAAGCCCCAGCCATCCACCCTGAAGCTGATCCGCTTTTCAACACTGGACAAGGATACCAACTGGCTGAGGGGCTGATAGCAGAGCAAGGGCTACCACATACCGTGACCAAAAGCCCAGCAGCCAGCGAGCACTTGGGTCCTCCCAGTGGAGACCTGGGTCCCTCTAGCAGAGCCACCTTGTACCAGTGCCACACTTCTTCAATCCTTCATTGGGCACCAGCCCTGCCCTGCTTACCTCTCAGTCTATCAGGAGAATCCAACTAGAAAATGGACATGGAAAGGCCTTTGTATGCTGTAAAGGGCTATGCACACACATTAACACAAAGTTCACACTAACGGGGCCCAAGAATGATTGGACAGGAGGATGGGAGATGAGGTACAAGAAAGCCGGGCCTGGCCAGCCTCCCACAGCAGAGGTGCCTTCAGGATGAGACTGCAGACCCTCAGCCCTGCTTAAAACACAGAGCCCACCTCAGTCCCCACTCTGCATATTGCCGTTCAAGTTGCACTTCTAACACCTCAGTATGAAAGACTGCCCAGACCCCTTTTCACCAACTGGAGGTGTCCAGAGTACTGTGATGTCCCCAGACATGTGCAGCCAAGTCCTCACTCAGGACCAGGAACAAACCTTTGAAATGGGCAAGGTCTAGGCTCTCTTGAGTTCAAGTTCAGCCCACACCCCATAGCCAGCCATACACCCTTGTATCAGCTGCCTCCTTTGTAAGAGGGCTTGGGCCAGTTTTAATAAAGGTGGCATGTGATGGGCCCTGACCAGGGGTCTGTCCACCTGCATATGTGAGTCTGCTCTGCCAGGTGCTGGAGACCCAGGCAGCTTGGATTTCAAACATTTTACTTGCAAAAGGGGTGGAGGGGTACAGTTGTTCCCGAAAACCTGGGCTACAGCCAGATGCTGCAACAGATGGTAGGACTTAGTTCAGATCCTCTGGGAGCCTGGGTGAAGGGGAAACCTGCTGATGGCCGATCATACTCCCCACTGAGGAAAAGGAAGCAGAGCCTTCAACTGAGAGCCTGTGGGCTTTTATCTGTTGCTTGCTGACAGTATCATTGATGTATAGCTGGGTCGACCTCAACCCTAGGAGGCCCCTAGCTGGCGTGAGGCTGCTGGATAGTAGTGTGTGCCCAGGACTAGAGGGTGTATAAGACAGCTTCACCAGCTTAGCAGAGGGACTTCAAAGACCTATGGTGGTTCCATCTGCCTCGAAGGGCAGAGTTGGAGGTGGGGGCTAGGATCAAAGCTGGGTTGCATGGGGGCAGCATCTTTTCCACTGAAGGGAAAGCAAAGGTTAGGAAGCAGGTGCCCACCCACCTGGCCACTTCTGGCAAAGCTAGGGACCGGCATCAAACCCACTCTTTTCTTTGGCCTGGGGATTGGCTGGTGAGTGGAGATTTGCTAAAAGTGTGGGCAGATAGAGTGGCCATGTGAGGAGACAGGTTGGGTTGAGAGGAATGGAGTCAAGGAGAGGCCCCTTGACTCCTTGAGCAGAAGGATAAGGGGCAGACTGATGACCCATGTCCTCCTAATGGAGAACACCTTCCTAGGGCTGTCTGCTCTGGCTTGCTGTAGGGAAGCAAGGGACCTGTGTACCTGCTATGGTGGAAGAACAGGCCCCGCTTCAAGGAGCTGCCTGTAAGGATCAGGGAGAAACCCTGGATGTGGAGACCAGTGAAAGCCTCTGCAGGGGTGGCCCTCAGACTTGGGCAGCATTGGCTTGGCAGAGAAAGGAGCTCTCACCTCACTCAGCCCATTTCTGGGCCCTGGCCCAGCAAGGTCTATAGCCCTTCTCAGCCGTGGCCCAAACTCCTAGGGACTATGGGTGACCCTAACCTATTCCCAGAGTATGACCTAGAACACCTGTTGAGTGGTAGGACTCAATTATTGGAGCCAAACCAGTTCCGGCCACTTTCCAGAAAGGAGTTGAGGGCAGAGCTGCTCTGTAGGTGGGAAGAAGTCAAGGGTCTGGGAGTAGAGAGAGGGGCCTGACCAAGCAGTGGTAGGAGTAGCTGGGGCCAGTTCCACAGGATCGGGCCCCAGCTTTAACTACACGCACCAGTCTTGCCAGCACAGATCAGGGATTTGTGGACAGTTTTTTTTTTTTTTTTTAAATTTAGGAGGTACCTCTTTATGAAACATAATATAAAAATTATAAATACAAAATGCCTGTTGTCTTCCTTATCTTAAAACGAAGACCCCTTAAGGTTTATATTCTTCCTCATGGTCAACTGGCTCGCTTCCCAGTTCAGCATCATCTTGGCTTATAGGGCCTGGCCCAGCACACTCTGCTTAGGCTGCCCATGGGTCTAGTATGACCATTCTGTCACCTGGCCAATTACTAGTGATGCTCTTCTGACCTCGCTTCCTCCAGGAAGCTTGCCTTGATTCATGCCCCCCTTCAGAGAGAGTACCCCTCCTCTTTGTTTCCATAATAACTCCTTCTCATCTCTGTTAAGGAGCTCTGGTGGTGTAGTGGATAAGGCATTTGGCTGCTAACCAGAAAGTCAGCAGTTCAAACCCACCAGCTGTGTCATGGAAGGAGGATGGGGCAATCTACTTCTGTAAAGATCTACAGCCTTGGAAACCCAAAGAGGGTCACTATGAGTCAAAATTGACTAGATGGCAGTGAGTTTGGCTTGGTTTTCATTTACAGTGTGTTTATATGTCTCTCTCTCTCCACCCTTCCCCAGGCTGTGAAGTCCAAGAAGGTACAGATGGTGCCTGACCAGGCCTTGTTGGACTTGCTTTCAAGGCTGAGCCCAGAAGCCACCTCCTTGGGACTATTATGCAAAGTACAGCCTCTGGGGTCAGATTGACCTGGTGGATTCAAACCCAGAGCTGAACTGTCAGGCAGGCAGGCTTATGTTGTGGCTTCTTAGAGCCTCAGTTTCCTTGGCTGTAAATAAAGCCAGCAACTCCAACTTCTCACAGCTGCGTTGAGATTAATGTGGGGAGGAAGGCACCTTAAGTGCTTGGAACTCAGGAATCTGCCTGCTCTGGGGAGCCCTCAATACAGGAGGTGGCTCCTGGTGATCAGTTTGGAATCATCCTGAGCCCCACACTGGAGGCTGGGCTTGGTTCCTTAGAACTGTGTGACCTTGAGGGCTGGTGCCAGTGGCTCATCTATAAAATGGGGTGAAGTCACTGAGTGCCCAGGAGAGGCTCCATAACAACAGTAATTACCCCCTACTCGTTCAGCTGGGGTCCAGCGTGCCTGCCTCTCCTGGGTTCCCTCCTGCCCTCTCACACACCAGCCAAGGCTTCAGCCAGCGATAGGTTCCTTAGTCCTGTCAACCAGGGCAGGAGAGGGGTGAGGGGTGGGGAGTCCCGTGCTTAGACTCTCTGATCACTGCCTGCTCGAGGTCCCTCTGACCCCGGCTGTCCCCCTAGTTACCCGCTGCGGCTGGCATCAGGAGGCCAGTGGGAGGTATATTTGGTGTGTCCCTGACTTAGGGCTCTCCGTGCTCACCCAACCTAACGCCTGACGACCCTCCTGGCAGAAATGAGGGTAGTTCTCGCGTACCATGGTGGGGGGGTAGCACAGAGCAGGCGACGAAGGTAGGGGACATGAGGGACCGGCCGCGCGGAGCCACTGGTGCATGGTGCGCGCGCGGCGAGGCGGGGCTCACGTGCACGAG